GTAAATGCCATTTCATGTTGATTATAAGACAGTTTCCTTAACAGTTAGATGTGGGTTCTGGGAAAAATAGTAAGACATTTTGCGTGTGTTACCTGGAGGGAACTCTTTTACACATCTGTTCCAGCCAGAACAGATTAAAAAACAGCGCTTGACACTCTACAGGTGCATTGAATTCTGGGAGGGATTCCAGCACCAACCGAAATGTAGGGTGTCACAGGTGAAAAGTACAAGATTCAGCAAAAGGAAAGAAGGAAGGATGAGTTAGAGTCAATAAGACATGAAACATACACTCATATGCGTATTTGTACTTGTCTAGAATGTTTCTGGGCCTTTTCTCCATTTATTTCCCCTTTTTACCACCTCTTTTATTTGCTGTCTGTATAATATTCATATTAATTATAAAAGCCAGGACATCCATGAGCAGGTGACAAGTGGAATGCGCTTAGTGTGTCATGCAAGAGCACAGGGTTTAAATTATTCAGCCCTATATACTGAACATGCTATGTTTACCTGACTATAGTGCTTCTTTTTATGTGTGAAATGCTTTAAAGTGTGTTTCAACTTGACTGCAGTGGCCCATGCTTTCCTTGGTGTTCTCTGGCCCTTGGCAATCATGTAATATTGAAAAGTTCTTCATCTTTTCTTCATCTTCTCTTCACTTCTTCTTTTCTCATCACTTTTGCTATCTTTGTTTCAGCATGCCCTTCAGGTTTCTTCAAGACAGCACAAGGTGACGAGAAATGCCTGCAGTGTCCAATCAACAGCCGCACAACCAACAACGGAGCAACCAACTGCGTCTGCCGAAATGGATATTACCGCACAGACTCGGACCCCTTAGAGATGCCCTGTACAAGTGCGTCCTCTCCGCTTTGTCTCAAACTGCATGTAAAACATACTTTCAAACTATATTTTCCAAACTCTCAATGTGACTCATACCTGTAATTTAATCAATACTTGTAATCAATATAATAGTAATAATAATAATAATAATAATTTTATTGGTATGAAAAAAAAATGAAATAGAAAAAAATATTTTTATCTTTGAGTATGTATCTTGCACAAAATTAATTTTTAATTAATCCCAAATAGATTCAATTATAAATAAATGTACACTAAATAGAAAAAATAGAAAAAATGAGTTGCAAACATGTTAATGGACTGCAGCATTTAACTAAATATTTTTGAAATATTTTATATATAAAAAAAAGAATCTTTTTGCACATGATTGCACTGAAAAATCCATACAAGCTGATTCACAAAAATGGACAATACATACCTATGCTACATATGAGAAAAAGTTAGGAAAGTTTGATTATTGCCTAACCCCTCTGGCTCACTTTCATTGTCATTATCCTTACAGCATAGCCAACAACACACCTCTTTTTCCACCACATGTAAACAGCAGCCTTTTCTGTTTATTCTCACTGACTTGAGATCAGGCAGAAAAAACAGACCTGTGGCCTTATTATTGAAACAGATGAGACCATGAAGACGAAGAGAGAGAGGCAGACAGCTCCTTATGCTGTTGTGAGCGGCATGTTTTTGTCTCTCCCTGAAAGAGGCAAGGTGGGGGCAGAGAAGAAGGAGAAAGAAAGGGAAGAACAAGACTGCTTCTTTACAAAAGCCATTTGCAAAAGCTTGGCCCTGGGAGGAGAGCAGCTGTTGTGAATAAGAGAGCAGTATCGCGTCGCAGAGCTAAAGCTCAGTGGGCCTTGGTTTGATTAAAGAGAGGAAACGGCAGCCTTTACCGCCCACTAACCTGGGAATGGGATGTTTAGAAACAGTTGTGCGTGCGACAAAGCTGTAGTTTCAAGACAGAGATGCCTCTTAATGGCTCACAACTGTAAAAAAGTAATCAATTGGGGCCTTCCTTTTTTGGGGACTTTTTTAAAAGGGTAAAAGGCAGTGGGTTGTTTCTTGATTACCTCACATGCCCCTAGAGGAGCACCCAGAGTAATTGGGAGCACATGTCGGCTGAAGATAAACATGGGGTATTGTTAGTTTTAGTTGGGCTGTCAGTCAGAAGGAGATCTTGGAGGTGCGTTTGTTTGGGGTGCTCTTACTCTCCTTCAAACATACTGTGCATGTGCCTGAGCAAACACAAATGATGTTTACAAACATAGGAACAGAACGGAAACAATTTGACTAGACCCAAATAAGCCTATGATTTGTGCAATGTTATCATAATTTCAATTAGTGTGATGAAAATACATGAGAAAATACAAATGGAAATGCACACAATAAACATTGTTTCATTGTATTATTCAGTCCCTTCCAAAGATGAAAACCGAAGTCGACAGAGCCATGGCTTAGTGGTTAGCAAACGTTCTGAACATTTGGGCTGTGTTGGGGGTTCAAATCTGACTGATATTTCCTGATTTCCCCCCCTCCTTTTCTTGCCTTCATTTATTTATCACTTTAAAGTCCTTTTAATAAAGGTTAGATTTTATATTTATTTATTTTGAAAAGCAGTATCTCAAGTCTGAAAACATTTTTCATTTGAACTACAAAAAATACAGAAGAAACAAAACTAAGAAAAAAATACAAATTCCAAATAATTATAAAAAAACAAATAAATACAATAAAATATATGTATTAAACAAAAACCACAATTAATATTATTATGATATAAATAATATAATAATATTATTAAATGTATATAATATTTTTCCCCTTTTAAACATTAAGATAGATGTAAAATCTTTGAGTCATTTACCGGTGGAAACTAATTTTCCTTTCAGACTAACTTTGGTAGTTTTAAGTTAAAAAAAAAGTATATATACAGGGCTCTACCCTTATTTTTCTTTTTAGGAGCGCTTGTGCTCCTAACTTAAAAAATGTAGGAGCACAGTCAAAAATTTAGGAGCACCAAAATTT